TATTGATTAAAACTATTTTAACATTTAAAATATCTATACATCTGAACGCGTCGTACAGTCTGACTGCCGCTGACTTGAAGGTGAAGTACGGCGGTCTGGACCGGACTAACCTACCGGTGACCCAAACCGTACAGACCATTAACCAACACGCGTCGTACGACTCGGTGGCCATCGACTGGGACTACTCCGTACTGAACCTCCCGAACGCCATTGACGTCAGCGGTAATGTCAAGACGATAGAGTTGGTCGACTCGGCTCCGGCCAACGGTGCGGCCGCTTCGCTCACCGGCTGGGGCTATACAGTGGGCGGCGACACCTCCACCTCTCCCACTGCCCTCCAGTACGTCGACTTCAAGATAGTGTCGGCCACTGAATGCAACCGCAGGTATCAGGAGCTATACGGCGGTCAGATCACTGTCACCGATCGGATGATCTGCAGTGAGCACCAGGCGGCCAGTGGTTGCAATGTATGTCCACCTGTTTGACTGATAGTTAGCATTCAGTATGATTTAGTAATTGTTGATTGATGTATGACCAGGGTGACTCCGGTGGACCATTGGTTTCGGGCGGCAAGTTGGCCGGTATTGTGTCCTGGGGTATCAGGAACTGCCCCTCAGATACCACCAAAACCCCCGCCGCCTACGCAGATGTGGCCAACCAGAGGGCGTGGCTTATCTCGAAGATTGTATAATCAAATGCGGCTATAAATGGCTTTTGACTTGTATTAGTAATCAATACATAATATGTTTGAATTATTTTAAATTCTACTACTATTTTAAAATGTAAACTGATCAGTTTAACGATTTGTGTGTTTTCATTTATGTCACAAATTGCAATTGTATTTCAAAATTTGAAACTTTTAATAAATAATTAATACTTGAGCATTAATTTTTGTAGTCTAACATTCACTTACAAAATGATTTGGTATTGATCCCGTCCCTACTGATAATTTATATAAAGTGTTTCAAGATGTTTATAATATCTAAAAATGATAGTTTTAATATAGATGCTAGTTCATTTAATTCATACATTTAAAATGGCATTTATTTTATAATTTATTGTAATGGCAAATATTATATTGTAAATTATTTTGAACTCTTTAATTAACAACTTTTATATTAAATTTAAAAATAATATGATTATATTTAAATCCTTGAAAATTTTATTATGAATACTAAATAATTACTATTTAATTAAAAATCTTATTAAATTTATAATACCTAACATTATATCGTATATAAAATATAAATTACACATGACCGTAATTTAATAAAAAACATTTCAGGGTATTTGTTACATGTGAGACTATTAATAATATTAAATTGTTTATCAACGAATAATAGTATAAATTAAATTAGTTTATTGTATATAAATATTTATTTTTTCAGACTTTATTGGCACTAAACTTACACATCCTTGTTGGTAGGGGTTTCTAAATTGTATAGCTATAAAGTATTTTATTATTATGATAAAACCAAGATCAAGTTTACTAATAATTGTCCAAATATTATGATAACATTTGTTTAGATTTTCTCCTTATTTGGACAGAAAACTCGACACAAATTTATTGTCAACAGAAGGCATCTGTTATTGTCTTTTAGATTAGATTTTAAATGTTTGGTAAAATTA